TTCTTGCCTGTTGGTTGGCCTACAGGTAGCACCGCCGGGGCAGAAAGTCTCCTACCCGCATTCCCCTTGCTCGGCAAATGACTGATTTGTCTTGGGTTCCCGCCGTGGCTCCTACGCCGAGTATCAACGGGGTGATTCCCCCCGGCCTCTGATCGTCGCCGTTCGTTTCGGCAATCGCGCGATCTCTACGAGCCGTGGCCTCCCTCCTGGCCTCGCTCTGCTGCTTGTAGTAATCCTCCTCCTCGAGCTTGCTCTTGAGGTTGGGTAGGCACCCACCCGTGACACTAGCAGAGGGCCTCCTCTTCCTCCTCCGTTTCCTGCCCGACCGGGTCTTTCCTCCCGTTCGACGGACACGTGCACCGGAATCTCCCGCGTCGCGCTTTGTCGCGGNAGGCCTCCTCTTCGTCCTCCGTTTCCTGCCCGACCGGGTCTTTCCTCCCGTTCGACGGACACGTGCACCGGAATCTCCCGCGTCGCGCTTTGTCGCGGCGACGGGGGTGTGCGCCTCGGTGGTTAGGTTACCCTGTCTCCTGCTCCCGTTCTGTGGACGTTCACTTGTGGATTCTCCTCCTGTGTCGTCGACCACTGGCTTACGCCGGGTTAGCGTGCCTTCCGTGATCTGTCGAAGGGCTAATATCGGCTGTATACCCCCGCTTCCGGGTGTAGAAGGGCTCCCAGACTGGTTCCGAGGCATCGCCGGTGGCGTACCCGGTAGAGCTGTGGGGCTGTTCACCCCACAAGCCTGTTGGCCCACCCTACGTCTCTGACGATTCATGTAGCAGCAGCTCGACCTATACCGGCCGTTTGTCCATGCATTCGAAACCTGACCAGAGTTACAAAAACAACATGTTACTCTTGAACGTACAGCTAAGCCAGGCGCACGCTTATTCGTGGGGTGGGATCTTCGGTGCCTCTTCTAACCCATGCATAAGATCTGATCCTCTTTACGGGCGCGCCTATGCACCTGAGAACGCAACGGACTGAAGCCTGTTCAAATACGTAGTTTATATACCTGACCATGTGATGCCGCGGCGTTTCAATGTTCATGCACGGACTGGAGTGTCTGCAGCTAAACTCCCCGAGTCATGTTCGGCTCGTATATTGGCAAAGCACCGAGTGTAATAATTGAACTCGAAGAAATCGTACTTGCCCTCTTGAAGCCCAGTTTGACTGAAACTCGTAGTGATTGGCTGACCCTAAGCTGGAATTACTGCATCGAGCATTTCCATCGTATCTTGGGTGTGAATCGTGTATGCAATGGATGGATGTACATGCGCAACGTGGAAGAGGGCTGAGTTCGGACCCAAGGCGTGGACTCTCCTGAAATTTGAATTTTGGACACACCATGCTTATCCCCTGCCGCACTAAATCGCCTCAAACCTTTTGCATTAGGTGGCAACATATCCTGGGTATATGGCGGCATCATAGTTAGGCTGCAATACAACTACCTCGCGCAGAGGTCGGGTCGCGTGTGAAGCTCGCTCCCTGATTTTGGAGCTGCTGCATGGTCGTACGCTCTAGCTAAAGTCCAACTTTTTCACCCTACCGTGAGCAACTGGACATATAAAACATACCCTGGTGTGCCCTGGTATCTTATTTACATACCTCTTCTTAAATCTGGACAGTTTATGCCCTCGTTCGCCCTCAAGAGCCGGTGCTAGGTGTGGAGGTCTGTTGCCAAGCGAGCCNGAGGTCGGGTCGCGTGTGAAGCTCGCTCCCTGATTTTGGAGCTGCTGCATGGTCGTACGCTCTAGCTAAAGTCCAACCTTTTCACCCTACCGTCAGCAACTGGACATATAAAACATACCCTGGTGTGCCCTGGTATCTTATTTACATACCTCTTCTTAAATCTGGACAGTTTATGCCCTCGTTCGCCCTCAAGAGCCGGTGCTAGGTGTGGAGGTCTGTTGCCAAGCGAGCCGCCTGATCATAGGGGTTTCCACAAGGGACTGCTTTCCCGATCCAGCGTACTTACTTCTTTTTTTTCTGTCGTGCAGCACTGCAGCGTGCACCTACAGATTTTATTGCTGTAAACGATCAAGTATCCTTTCCACAACTCAAGGCTGATCCACAAGGATATTCGGGGTGTGCTTGAAAAGCTTCCGAAGGCAAGGTCAGGGGTCGCGCGCAGATGCTGCCGACACCTCTCGGGGTTCCCTAAGCCCGGATGACATGTACACACATAAAAGTATCGGACAGCATCAGCGGAAATATCTCGGCATGCATCCCGGGAAATCTGTTTCATGTCCCCGCCCCAGTCGTAATGCAGCCGCGAAAAACTCCGGAATGGCCCTTCAATATGCCCCCCCCCCCCCCCCCCCCCCCCCCCCCCCCCCCCCCCCCCCCC